ACGTCCTAATTTTCTAAAAGGTTACAATATTGAGCGTCCTAGAAACTCAAAATGTCAAAAAAATTATACATTGGTATTACTACATTACCATCAGAGATCATAGAATTTACCTTTTAGTTTCAAGAATATTGGAAAAAGTGGCAGCCAATAGACCTGCAATAAAATATAATAAACACTAATAGAGCAAACCTTCAATTACTTATGCAGTGATGATGTGAAGAACTAAGGCAATTCAAACAACTGCAAAAGCCAAACTCAGCAAGGTGCAGAGACTTGAGTGTATAAGGATAACTGGTGCCATACATATTACTCCAAGAGCAACTATGGAGGGTCTACTAGGCCTGCCTCCGTTGCATTTGATAATACAAGATTAGGAGCCTACAGAATAAAATAATCACTGAAACTTCGCAATGAAGGGACAGGGCAAACAGAGTAAGATCTAGTACATAGACGGATCCAACACTAGAAAGGGTATGTAGGCAGGAATATACTCCAAAAATCCAATATTAGCGAAAGCTTTGGCTTGGGGAGGAACTACACAGTTTTCAAGCGGAGATTTGTTCAATACTGCAATGTGCAAAGGGAAATAATGAGAGAGCACTTGAAAAAGAGCAGATCCATATATTGTGTGAGAGTCAAGCGGTACCGAAGGCACTGGCGTGTCTGGAAGTATAGTTGGGGCTGGTGTAATACTGCATCAGAGAACTGAATGAATTGGGAGACCGGAGCAAGGTTGAACTTGTCTGGGTATAAATGCATCAGGACCTTAACTGCAGACTCTTCGATCAGGAACTAGAAACTGTAAAACATGTATTATGCGATTGCGAGGAGCTGGACCGTAAAAGACAAAAACTATATGGACAATCAAGAGGAGACCTTGGTATATTTAGGACACACCAAGCAAAATGAACTGTACAAACTTCAACAGGGTACAAAAATTCTAAACTTGGTGTAAGAAACAACAACAGCCAGGAAACACAATAAGCTTCAGTGATTACAAAATCTTTTTGGATCAAACGGGCCCAGGAATAAAAAAAAACACTAATAAAGTATGGTGCTGAAGTTAGTTTCTTGTGGCACTTGAATGTTTTTTTGGGAACAATTTTGTGAAAATCAAAAAGTCAAAATGTATTTTCGCCTGAAATTGAGGTTAATTCCCATTAAAGATAATAAAGGACATAAAAATGCCACAAGAAAATAGCTTTAAAATCATACTACTGTAGAATATTACAGATAAGCTGTGTGACTGTACCATTCTATGATCAGAAATAAATCAGTTTTACGTCAAATGAAAAAGAACACATGAAGCACTAAAGGATAGAATAAAAGTAATATATTATTGGTTTTGATGTTATTCCTAAACCATGGTAACCACCAACCAATTGTAGAAAGCATAACTCACCTTAGCAGAATATAAAATGTTTCTATAAATACAATTTACAATTTTACATTTCTGATGCAATATTCACGTAATTTTCAAAATAGTAATATTTTATAGTAAAAATGATTGCAAAACCTCACGGGGACTATCAAGAACTATGTTGGAGTAATAAAAACTCAAAAAAAATTATTGATTTAGTCTAGACATAAACTCAATTAGGCTACTTAAACAATGATAATTTTTATAAATTTTTCAATTCTCTAATCCATAAGTAGTTCGCACACAATTTTAACTTTAAATTCTCTAGATTTCTTGTAGCGTTGGTTTTATACTTCAAGTATTTTCCCTCTAATTTACAAATGTTCGTCAAAACCAGGTTTTTTTATACATCCATATTTAATGATTCAATTTAAAAGCTATGTACATATAAAATCTATAAAAATTGTAAAATACATTTATTGTTTAAAAAATCAACTTGAAACTTCACAATGTACCCCTTTGTTTAAAATCTACGTAACGCATAGGCGGAGATAGGGAGATTTAAGATGGTTTGTAAAAGGTTACAAAAATGTACACCATTGACAAGGAATAAATCGAAAAAAAGGTATAGATTTTATAAATAAACTAATAAGTTTATTTCACTGTGAAGTAAACAATTAAAGTGTAAGTCAAGAGAGTGTTTTATAGCTGTGACTTTTAAATCATTTTTCACCTATAATCCACTATAAATCCCCTTGCGATCTTCTGGCATTAATCGGCACGTGCTTGCACCCTTGATGGCTACCATTGAAGAGGGATCATAGTAGATTAGAGGTCTAAAAAAATTCAAGGTTAAAGCATAAAAACATTATATCTTTATTTGCACCATTTCCCTGATACCCTGATGTTCTTTTTTTTTGTGATTCGATGACTGTCTATAAATCGCACTGAATGAGGTAGGAAGTACTGAATGTACTTGCGCAGCCGATCAAGCTGAAAATCTGCATACATACTTGACAATTTGTTTTTGGAGAAGTCTGTGCCATTTTGACTTTATAAAATGATGATATAATCTGCAAATATTGTACCTTATACTAGTTTTCGTAACCTTATGCATTCCTCTAATTTCCTTACCGTTTCAGTAAGTGTCCCTATCTACGTCCGTGAAATAATTAAAATTTTATGATAAAAATATTAGAAAATATTCTTATAATACAACAGATTGTAAGTTAAAAAAAGACGAAAAATTTTTCTAAGTGTTTACATTTGGAAACTGTATTTCCAAATCAACATTACTTGTATTTATACAAGTAAGAGTTATAGTGTTTTTAACTATATATGGATATACTACTAAATTTTTATTAAAAATCATTATTTATAAAAAAAGGAAATTAAGTTTAGAAACGTTGCAATTATTGGAAATATTTGTCATATATCGAACATTGTTTTCAAAATAAAGCAGTATATCCATAGAGCCAGAATACATTAAAATTTATAACATAAATGCATAAGATGATCTATTTGCGTTTCTAATAAATATATTTCTGACATTCTCAAGTTAGGTCTGAACAAACCAAGGTAATGAAAAGTAATAAAAAAGCTCAGTAGATTATAATATATCTATATTGTTTGTTATTTCCTGACCGTGAATATAACTGTAATGTAACTGACCGTGTAAGCTGCCTGTATAACATGTATCACAAAAAATTTATTTAAAAATTCCTTTATAAAGATATAATATTAAAAACCCTATCGGACTACACATAGCAACCATACAGATAGCAACAATATCGATAGCAAACAGTTGCTATCAACAAGTCCTCGTAGACACTTAGGACTAGCAACCTTCCGTGGAGTCTTACGTTGCCATGTTATCCATTCCTGTTTTAACTTAAACATTATAGTTTATTTATAAAGTTAAATAATGTAATTCAAAGTTAATTCAACAACATTTAAAGGGTTTTTGTTTTTTGTCATGTATTTAGTGGCTTTTAACATGTACATCTAGATAGCACTGATGATGGAATATTGATTCCGAAAAAGTTCTGTGATGTAGCCCGATTGGGTTTTTAATATTATAGCTTTTATAAAGGAATTTTTAAATAATTTTTTATTTTTAATAAGTTTTAGTCATACCAACAACAATTCTAGTAATGATGTTTCCATATTTACAAGTTCTGAGCTTCTTCTAACGACAGTAGAAGTTCATGTTTTGATAGTGTTGTAGATGGCTAAGCTCTTATATTTCTTTCATTTGTTCCTTCTCCATTATTTCCTTTACTTAATGGTTTTGGATAATGTGGGGCAACAGGTTTCACTTGTGCTTAAAAAGTGAGTAATTGTAAGACTGACCATGAGATAACAACTTTCAATGAATGAGGTAATTTCTTTAAATTTAAATGAAAGGGTAAAATAAAGGAGTTCATTGGTAATTAAAATAAAAATTTGGAGAGCTTCCGAGACAACTATTTTCTAGAATCGTTTATGGATTTTTTTAGTGTGTATTATAAGATTGAATGGAGGAAATAATTCCAGCAATACCTCCACTTCTATTCATTGGATCATACAAATTGAAACATTCTTAACATTTTACATATTATGTATTAAAAGTGAATCTTTTAGATAATGGATTAAGTCCATAATAAAAAACCGACAGTACACAAATGAGTCAAAACTAATTTGAGAATATGTCGAAATTTGTTATTAATTAGAGCAAATAGACCTTTTTATGTAGATACAAGATCATTCAGAGGAGTGACATTAAATAATTTAATTTTAGGGGTAAGGTAATCAAATTTAAAAGTTTAGGTAAATACAGTAACAAAAAATACTAAATTAAAATATTTACTTCGCTTTTGTTCTCAAATGCATTTTTTATTTAATGTCTGCTTTAGTTTAGTCTGGAGAAACACTTTTAGTACCATTTTTTTTTTCAGTATAATATGTGCAGCTGACCAAGATGTGTTGTTTAATTTAATTTTTCGCAACATTTAACGTCTAAAATCAATAACCGACAATATATGCTGATCTTTTTATATTTTATAAAACTTTTTAATCAAACAGAATTAAATAATAGTTTAAGAAACACGCTCTAGTGTTCTGGAAATTCTGTAGTAAGGGAGACAATCTACCAAGTCAATTAATATTATATATTAAACAGATATTACTACGATGTAGATGTAATTATACAAGAATATTAATTTCTATGTCTACATGACTTTTATTGAAGTATTTTTCTTTAAGAAGCAGACACACTTTATGAGATTTTTAGTGTTAGTTTAAATATCAAAATAAGTTCATGTTTTTATCCATAATTTATATTAAAATACATAAACCAGATCAAGAAACTTACAAAAGTGGATGGTAAAAATCTTTTATCATTTTACTATATTTCTAATCTCTTCATTTTTGACTTTTATGTACTAAAACAACATTTAACATAACTCCTCTAAATGGTTTTCAGTTGACATTATCGGAATTCTGAATGGAACATAATTAATCCCCTAGTGTAGTCATCAGAAAAAAGACGAGCAACGAACAATCCATTTAAATAAAACATTGATTAAAAAATGTCATTAAAATATCAGTTTAAAAATTATGTAGAACTTACAGATTAAAATAAATTACCTATGTTATATATTTCTTTTTATCGTTGATTATTCCGTTCAGAATATCGAATGTAAAAACATTTATAAACTATAAAATTTTAATTATTTAGATGATCAATTTTACTAGTTTTTCAATCAATAAAAACATGATCGTTTCTTGTCTTCTTTCCAAAAATGTATTTTCTCAAAACCAACCACTCAAATACTTGAAGTACAATAAAAATACTGACTCGGAGATTCTACAGTTTTTTTAATAAAGAACAACTATTATCACTGGCTCACTGCCGGGGATTTTTTATCAGAGTCCTGGTTGGAGGGGGTATTCCCCTGAGGTGGGCCGACGCCCCCCGGCCCGCCCCTATCGCCCACTCCCGCTCCCCACGAATTCGATCCTGGCATCGGTGAGTCAGCATGAAAACCATGGTTATCATGGTCTAAGGAATTTGCGGCGTCATACTGGGTGTTTTCTAGCCTTGTTATTAGTCGCTCGTCTTCGTCTCCGAATTCTCCACCCATCAATGAAGGTTCACCCACAACCATCACATCCTGGAAATAACAAAACATCAATCATTTATATATAAATATAGAAATATACGTACTATTGCTACATAGGTAGCAGTGGTAGTACGTAAGTTATCTAAAGTTTTATTAGTAAGTATTACACATGTTACATAATTATGTGTAGATTGTAGGCTTTAATACCAGCCTTTAATTTAAAAAATAGTATGGAACTGCCATGGCTGATGAGATTTATCATGAACGACTTAGTAATTAACTTTCAAATTATATCCACTATAACACAAAGAATCATTTGTTTACGAACTATCATAATGCATCATAATTAAAATAATCTTTTCTATGCTCAGTTAATAACCTAATATAAAACTTCTTCCTGTTTTTTATCCATTTCTATAACAAAATTAAATAACTGTTCAATTAACAGCTTAGGGATATGTCCCAATATCTTACATTATCCATTATTAATACCATATTTATGTTTTCGTATGTATTAATTTTTAGCAATTTTTTAGCAAAATGTAAAATATTTATCAAGAATTCAAAAATATAAACAGAGATTGCACAGAATGGGAAGAGACAAAGAACTTTTGATCACCATTAAAAGGAGAAAGACAACACACAGAAAAAGAGAAAGGTTTCTTTTTGTCTTAAGTATCTTTCTCACAAATACAGGAATATGTTGACGAACTGTCAAATTAATAAGCCTTCATGTTGGACTTTTCACCCTTGCGATGATTGAGTATTTCAGTTTCTGTGCATTAATATCCTTGTTCGATATATCGATCTTTCTTCAGAACTAAGTTTTTTTTTATTTTAGGCTTAACAAACTCTAGTAGCAAGATGATGGCTCCATTGTCCATTCTGATTTTTAAAATCATTTGATTTCAAGATACACATTCTCTCAGTTTGTCCAGGGAATTTTTGCACCCTTTTCGTTTTACCTTATTTTTTCTTCATTAACTTCATCGTCGAGTAGTACGATTACTAATGAAGCTAATTATTTTTGACGATGCTATGTCCTACATTGACTGATGTTCAGGTTGTGGTCGTTTGAAGGCGAAATACTTCTTTCAGTTCCCTCTCCGATTATCGAACGTTGGCGATCATATTGGCAACTCTAAACAATTAGCGGACGTCTCTCAGTTATTAGTCTTTTTCAGAAGATTTCAGAGTCAGAATATTCTTTTTAGGACCTATGCTCTTCCTCCTTCGATCTTGCCCTGTATTATGAGGTGAAGAGAGTTTACCACTCTGTATGTCTCATTACATGGCCGAAATATTGTTTTCGTTATTTCCATGCTTTTTTTCAGCCGGTTATAAAACCACTCCATGCCATACAGCAAAGTGGAGAATAATGTAGCAACGGATTAATCTGACTAAGGTTTAATAATGTAATATCTCTATTAATGAGAATTTTCTGTCGTGTATAGAAGGAGGCTCTGGCTTTTTCAATGCGTATTCTTATTTCATTGTTCATATACCAGTTATCGTTAAAGTTGGAGCTCAAGTAGGTGATATTGTCGACTCTTTCTAATTTTATTTCATTCGTTCTGATGTTCATTGGTCGTAACTCCGTGTTGCTGACAACCACGACATTTGTCTTGAAGTATTAGGGAGAGCGCCCACTAAACTGGCATGGCAAGTGCCAAGTAGCAAGTGTCTAGCATGTTACTGAAAATGTAACGAATGAAAACGAATGATTCAGCGCAACCAAAACGACAGTGACGTCATTCATTCTAATTATTCGTTTGCATTGGTTACATTTTAAGTAATATGCTAGACGCGTGCTACTTGCCAGTTGCCATGCCAGTTTGGTGGGCGCTCTCATTTAAGTTTTAGTCCATATACACAATCTGCTTTGGTCACCCTGTTCATAAGTCGTTGCAATCCTTTTTCATTGGAAGCAATCTTTGGAAATTAATTCGAAGTGGATATTAAAAAGTATAGGTGATAAAATACACCCCTGTCTCACTCCATCTCGTACCTCCACTGATTCCATCATGTTCTGACTAATTTGTATGTTTGCATGTTGATGCCAGTACCAATTTTTGATAGTAGGAGGTCTTGGTCATCAATTCCCAGCTGCTGCAAGACACCTATCAATTTGTCGTGGGTGACCCGGTCAAAAGCCTTCTCGGAAGGCTACGCAAAATATATAATTCCAGCGGGGAAATACCTGTAATAGCCACTAAAAATGCTGTTTTTGTGCTATTCAACGGTCCTATCATCTTTAGAAGCGCTTGCCTTATTAGGATGGTGAGAAAAGTCCCACAATATTGCAAAGCTGTCTTTTTCCACCAAAGTTCTGAACCATAATGTAATTGTCGGTCGTATCACTGATGTATATAACCAACAGATTACCTTTGGCTTTAGCCTCCTTTTAAGCTTACCCCTAGATATTTTACCTTATTAGTTGTTTCTAGTTCCTTCCCAAATAATTTCTGGTCGATCAGTCCAGCGAGGTTTCTCTTATCAGTATAGGTTACTAGTTTAGTTTTAGAACGGTTCATAGAAAGGTTGTCTTTCAGACACCAATTATCTATGTAATGAAGGGCATATCGCATCTGATCCGCAAAAATACTGGAAAATTTTCCCGTGGTCACTATTACACTATCGTTTGCGAAACTGTACCGAGATTCCTTGGCTTTCAAGCTCATAAATCAGGTTAGCAATAAATATATTCCATAATGTTGGTGATAATACACCCCCTTGAGTACCCCTTATTAGCCCTTAGGTTTATAGCACCTTCATACCTTCTTATCTTTAATTCTGCTATGAAGCATATGAATAACCCTATGTTGTTTTGTTGATTTTCTTCCTAATCAGTGCACTATGTATTACTCAATAGAGGTATTATCAAATGCATCAAGTGTGACTTCCTTCCGGTGTAAACTAGTTTGTTTCGATACCAGCACCAGAATGTATAGGGTGGCTTTACCTGATTTGCCTGCTTGATACGTCCATCGCCGCTAGTGCGCGTAAATTCTCGTTTTCATACCGGTCCAACAAGAAAAGTAATAACACCGATTAAGGAATGATACTTTATTACGCATATCACTCATCAACCATTTCTCGGAATATTCTGAAATACTAAAGACCCTGCGTTGGTTCTTCCTAGTAGCGATTACTGTACATCATTACATTAATGCATCTTGAAGAATTATGCACGATTTCAACTGGTCCCAACTACATTGAAGGTCAGTATTTTAGAACAATATTTGGGAGAACTATGCTACTACCGTTTTATAACAAACCAAATCAGCTATTTTTATTCATATAATTGTCTAAAACTACGGAATGTAAGGATTGAGCTGAGCATACTAAGAAACTAGCTGAGGTAACGCGAATATGTGTAAGTAACTACTTTGCATAAGTTAGAATAAGAGGGAAAAGATCAAATGCTTTCTACGTAAATTCAGGGCTGTAAACGGGATTAGAATATGCAACGCAAAAAAATTATTCGTAAATCAAACCAGACAAAGTTAGGATATTTTTTCGAGTTTTGGTGAAGCTGTAATAAATATAGGTCTAAAAGTAAATGAAGAGAATGGTCGTTTCAATGATCATAACTTCGAGGTGATTAAAGAATTTAAATATCTAGGAACAATCACCAATGACAACAAAGTATAAAGATAAGTTGAAACGAAAATATTGGTGTAAAACACATCTAATGATGGTGATTCTAGCTTTTAATGAATTTTATTCCTTCTTTTCTGTTTTTCGTCAATTGTGTTGCTTTTTGCCAAAATTTGCCCTTATTTTGTAATATCACGGCTATGTCGCTGTTCCACTCTTTTATTAGTCTGTCTCTTCTGTTTTTCCCGATTGGTTTAGCTTTCTATACTCTTCTCTCTTGTATGTTACTGTCCATTCGTGTTATATGACTAAACGATGCTAATTTGTTCTCCTTTATTGTGTCAAGTAACGGTTTAATTTTAAATATGTTTCTTATTTCTTCATTTCTTCTTATGTCTTTCCTTGTCCATGATGGTTGTATCCTACTCTAGTATCTTCAGTTTAAGATCCAGTTTTCTGCTCCATATGTGAGCGTTGGTGTATATTTCTTTGTTGTTGAGGAATCCTCTATTTAGAGTCTGCAATAGTTTTTCATTCTCTAGTCTGTTGTGTCATCGATGCCTCCTCTGTTATTTATTACTGTTTCCAGGTATTTGTATGTTTGTTTGCTTTATTCTTTCTTGTTCTTCCGTGTTTGGTCCTCTCCGTACGGTCCTATAACATTTTATATTGGTTCGTTCCATTTTTCTACTTCTTTTCCCACTGTAGCATTCATATCTCCTATGACTGCTATTTTAGCTGTGCAATAATTTATTACTTCTTGCAGTTTGTCTAAGCGAAACATGGACACTCACAGTAAAAGAAGTAAATAAATTGCTGGTGTGGAATATAAAATCCTACGAGTAATATATGGCCCTTGCAGCGTGAGAAACGAATGGTGACGCAGATACCATAACGAGTTAGAGTCTTTTCTTTGGAAAAGAAAATGTAGTGAGAGATATAAAGGCCAATAGGCTAAAATGGACAGGATAAATATAGAAGTTGAAACTGTATTCACTTTTGAGTTTATATAATAAAAACTCTAGTCAAATGAGAATCTAAGAGTGAAGTTGATACATTCGCAGGGTCTCATTGTACCTCTTTTCGTCCTGGAGTTTCCATTCGGTTAGTATCGGATTTTGGTGACGGTTGTAGCGAGATTGTAGGCATGTCTCTCGTCTTGCCAAGTCGAGTTAAATTGGAGAGCGTTGTATTAGCGTTACTCATATAGAAATGTTAAATGACACTTTCTATTACCTATTTTTATTTTTCTGTTGGCTAAATTATATAAAAATTTTAATAAGATTCTACTACAAACTACGTTACCTACCTGCGACGCTAAGGAAAAATTAGGCCCTGGAGATCTTTTTTTGTTTGGTGCTGGAGCTGCATTGTTGGCTGCTCCTCCGGAGTTGGAACCTTTCCTTTTTCGCCTTTTGTTTGCTGGCCTTTGAGATTCTATCAAACATATTCAATGAAGATATTAATGTTATTGAACGGAAAATATTATATTAGTCACGTGCAATCGATGAGTTTGTCAGGATTCTTTTCATTTTTGCTATACACAAACCGGATCGAAGGTCGGTTTTCATCAAGGCATTGTTCTAGGTGTTACAAAAATGGATATTGTGGTATGTGTTTTTTATAATAAATAGTGAAGTGAAAAATGTATTTATGTGAATTTATGTGTCTAATATTGATAATAAAATTGAAATAAAAAACCAATAATGTTTAGTAAAGGTGATGACAAAGGATATATGAAGAATACTCGATTAGTATTAATTTTTGTAAATAAACTGTCTACAGGTCTTTAAAAGATTCTTAATATACCTGTTGTATGTCATAAAGAATCTAAATTTGAAAGTGTTTTAGGTAAAAACGAGATCGAGCGTTCCAATATGCTAATATGGAACTAGCGACAATTATGAGAGTGTCCATTAGGTATTCTTTCATACTGTTAATCTGGTTCTAATACAAAGTCTAACTTGACACAGTCTACCTCGCGAGACCAGCCTCGTTGGTACTGATGCTGCGCCAGTAGAATAATCCAGATTACTGCACGAATCCATGTCGTCACTATGAACGCAATTAGCAAGATTCTGTTTTATATATTTTTTGTAATAAATCGTATAAAACAAATAAATGCAAATAGAAACAGCATTAATCTTACCCATTTTAATAAACCTTTTCTTGTTAACTAAACGAAGAAAGCGGTAAAGCAAAAATGAATAATCCTATAGTGCAATAAAATTGGTACCTCTCTTACCCGGCGGCGCAACCATCCTCTGCCATTTCTGAAATAACGTCGTTTTCAGGCAGTCCCTGGGACTTAACGCGTATGCCTTATGTCGAGACATAAGCTCCTGCATAGGTTCTAATATCACACATAACTAAAAAACAACAAAAAGTGTTATATTTACATCGATTCATTTCATCATGCAAAATATAAATAAATGCAACGTTGAATAAAATTAAAAGTAATGAAAATTTTTACATATTTGTACTATTTGTATTTGTATACAGGGTGGTGAATCGTCAAACGGGCCATAGGAAACTAAATGAGAAATTCTAAATTGTTGAATTCCTGCTTCCCTAATTATTTTACACCAAAAGTCATGGGAAACTATTTGTAGAGGACTCAAATATGTATCGAAAACAATTGTTAAAATTGTTCGACGACTTAAACGTATTCCAAAATTTTGCTAAAATATAATACATTTTTCAGGCCACCCCTAAAAGTCAGGCCAGACGCCGTGAAAAGAATGTGTTTTACGTGGTGTGTTTTGTCATATTGACGTTTCTAATATTTGACAATATTTAAATCAACTATATTATATTTATCTATGATTTAAATTGCCAAAATTTTGTGATTTATTATTTAAAAGAAAAATTAAGTTGATTAAAAAATGTACTCAGCTAAGGAGAAAAGAGCAATAATAAAAATGTTTTATTCATGTTTTACTATATTTGTTATAGTTTTATGTTTAGAAATTATCGTATATTATTATTAGGAATAAAGATCACAGTAACAGTATATTCGAATTCATTGAATTGTTGTATAACTTAACTTAACATGGAATTAAATTTTTAGTGTATTAGAATATCTTACGTTAAATAAAGATCCGGTAGTGACAGGAAAAGGTTCGCGTTATTGTCTGAATACAACATTATGCGATTTTTCGTCAACTGAGTACATTTCATTATATTGATCGATTTGTAAACAATATAATTTATTGTTCACAAAGTAATATTGTTCAGTAGTAGTAGTATTTAGTAAAATTCATTGTTTATAATTTAATCATAAAATAAAAAAAATTGACAATTCAAATTGTCAAACATCAGACATCAATATGATAAAACACACACGTTATACTTAATATATTCTTGTATTACGTGTGGCCTAACTTTTAGGGGTGGTCTGAAAAATCTATTATCTATATTTTTGCAAAATTTTGAAGTACATTTGATTCGTAGAACCGTTTTAACATTTGTTTTTAATTCAGAATTTAGTCCTCTACAAATAGTTTTTTATGACTTTTGATCTAAAATAATTAGGAAAGCAGCAATTCAACAATTTAAAATTTCCCATTGAGTTTCCTATGGCGCGTTTGACGATTCACCACCCGGTATATACTAAGCGAAGTCTAAAGAAATTGTGGAAATGTAATGTGAGTAGATACCTAATATTAAATGTCTGCAGAAATATGTAACAATTCAGCCATGTTTATGTGACCTAGCAGTGTAACGTCACAATATAACAATAGCCCGTTTCTTAAATACCCAATCAAATTTGTTAGTTTTCGGTTTATTATAGAAGTTCAAATCTACAAAGAGACGCTCTGAAGATATAAATAAGTATAGAATAAAAAGAAGTTTACGGTTTTATATCTTATATTTGATCATTATCCAAACTCTTTGATGTCGCACGCTATTTGTCCGCTATTGCCAAACACATAAAAATTAAAATTTGCTTAGAGCGAAAAAGGAATTCTCAGGATGTGAACATTGTAAAAGATAATGATAGAATTAGAACTTATGTTGGGACAGAGGTTAGAGAGACTGATAAATGTTCGTATTAGAATATAATTACATGAGAGTTTAGTGTTAAGCTCATAATTTATGCTAATTAATAGCGTATTAAATAAAAGAAAAATTGCAGACAAGCATCGCTTGTTACTTTATGAATGCTGATGATGTGGTGTTAATAGGAAATACTGACAGGGAATTTGAGCAAGTAGAGTGAAGCTATCGAAGAAAACTTTTTAAAATATCTAGAATGTTTAGCCCCATTAAGACTTTTTCTCCAGTTAGTTCTATCCATCGCGTTCCTCCACCAAGCAAGTATTCCCTATTTCTCATAATTTCATCGATGTATCAAGGCATCTTGTTCTGGGTCTTCTTTTTGCGCCAAGCGCGTATTCACATATTTCCCATATTTTTATCGATGTTAAGGCATCTTGTCCCGGGTCTTATTTTTCTTTTCGGACCAATGAGACTATCAAATAACGTTTTTCTAGCTGGGTCAGTTTGTTCCATCCGCATTACATCTCCTATCCATCTCCAATGCCCTACCTTAATGTATTTTATGAGATTTCTGGTATATTAACCTTAAATTGAGAGAATTCCCAGGAGTCGCTTCTTTTGAAATGGGTAATAATATACAGGGCGTTATATTTAAAATAAGCAAGTTTATATGTCAGATATTCAATAATTATGTCAAGTCCCTCTACAATTTTTGGTTTGAACTTTCAAAAAATCACCCTATATAATTATCAAATGAAATCAAGTTATTTAATTTACCAATACGGAACTAGAAAATCAGTTGCGCTTCGTATATTGTTAAACTGAAATGGCCTCAGGATCTTTTTGGTCCTCTAAAAATTTCAATTTTTAATGTTTGTAATTATTGTTGCAGATCATAAACAATGATTCACGTTTGATTTAAAACATTCTATGAGCACAAAGAAGCATAAATAATATGACAGATTCCATCAGTATTTATAATTTGTGTGGCCCTTTAATGCAGCAAATTTTATATATGCTGATGATCAAGCTGGATTATTAAATACCCATACGTGTTGTGGAATTGTTCCATGTTTTCTAAAATATAAGCTTAATTAAGCTTTGTATGTTCAATTTTTTGAAGATAACAAGAACAAAAATGGAGCTAATATTTAGTTAGATTAAATTGTTGATCCTAAATTGACGGTTCACCATGTGAAAATTTGTGCGATTGAAGAGAGTTGGATTAGAAATAAGTGGTCCTAAATCATCGTGGACAAAAAAGATCTTTTAGGTCGTAATGTAGAAGCATACGATCTGTTTGAAATCTACAAACCATAGTCGCCTAGATCCCCAGATCCCAAACCTTTCTCGGCATATTTGAAAGAAAAAAGATTACTGTTTCCATTATTTATTCGCGAAGATGTTTGCCTTGAATATAATTATTTTAACACATTTAATGAGATCTGGTATAGAGCATCTTCATATTTGCCAATTATTAAGAAAGGTGGTCTGTATAACCTACTTAACCAAATCCCAAAAGCTCGTCGGTATTTTTACATTCGATTTTAGTAAGGGATATATTATTTTCCTTGTCCTAATACATAATTGAACTCTGTTGTATTAAACATTGGTGTATACATACTATAAACATAATACAGATCTATTGAGAAATGACACTTTACTTACCCTCAAATAATTAAGCGTAGAATTTGTGATGCCTTGCCTTGTAATGTTTTTCGATAATTGGTCCAACATGCTTGGATCCTGTTGGGAATGCATACCAACTACCGTTCTTGGGATTAATTCTCGATGTGTTCGAACAGCAAAATGCCATGATTTTATCCTCATTAAATCATCGAAAGTAAATTCTAGAATTAAGCGGCCCTCTGTACACACCTGAAATGAATAAATCTCGTTATTGACTGATACAACAAAACGACTTGATTTAAATCTAGTTTAATAGTTTAACTTAATTTGGTCCGAATCACTACCAAGACTTTCCGACTCACTGTAGTGCGAGCATTAGAACTTAGAACAAGATATACGATTACGACAGTCTAATATCGACTATTTACGCAAAGGTTCTACATATTCAATTAGTCTAAATTTAAGATTTCAATGTCAATGTCATAAGTATCTACTGACACAATGTGAGGTTAAAATCACAAGTATCGGTTTATTTAATAAATAAGTGTAAAAAAATAAAAAAAAAACTAAGACATACAATTTAATGGAAGCTTTACTTTAACACAGTTTAATTAAAAAACAAATATTTTTTCACTTTATAATGTGATAAAATCTCAAAACTGATATGATTTTTCCGCCAAAATATTCGATTGATTAGAGTTTGATGGTATTCTAAATTTCAACCAAGCTTGTTGGTCGTTATTTTCTTGTGTTAAACCTATCCATGTGATTCCCGTGATAAGAATGTTAAAAAAACTCCTGTTTCGCAAATGAAATAAGTTAATGTATTAGAAATCTTGTTAAATTAGGTAGAGTAAGGTAAGTCGTCACAAAGTACAACATTGTCATTCACTCCTTCGTTTTTTCTGCATTTATACACTATATAGTCAAATATACCGCGGTTTTTAACTCAGAATATCATCAACAAGCATTAGGCTTGAAATGAACGTGAAAAACCCTATAATTTTCCGTGTCACTACGGAATTGCATGAAAATTTGGATTTAGGTTCTACGTACTCTCCACTTCACTTTTTGGATTTTTTTAGGGGCGAAAACTACCCCTATTAGAAAATAATCTTATAATTGTAAATTAAAGCGGGTAATTGATCATCATCTTTTAATGAAGTCAATGAATGTTAATTAAAATTAAACAATATAATTTAAGATTTTATCATAGTTTAACCCCTAAATCTCACACCTAGATTAGTTATAATTAAAACAATTTTATTTAATACCTTGTCAGCACTGAAGAAATTTTTACCCCGCCCCTATTAGAAAATAATCATATATTTGTAAATTCAAGCAACTTCGAATTATTTATTTATACACTGACATTAAATTTCGAGTTCTTTATTGTCTTAATTTTTTACTACCTAATTTCTACCCTTATTAAAGCCACCCCTTGGAAATAATTCGAATAGTTGTAGTATTTTTGTTTTCATTGAAACTATAAATACAATAATTTTTTTTAAACAAAAGGTAAATTTTTTTTGTTTCAACTTAAAAACCAATCCTTATTAGTTTATAAGGATATGTGAAAAAGACAGACTTTACTGTCTTAATAGCACATTATATTACGTGTATTTTACAATTTTCCAGTATACGAGTTCTGATATCTCCTAAAATATGTGATTGGTTTTATACACTGAATGGCAAAAAAGTGACCACCCTATAAATTTCTGAAAATAAAAATTGAAAGTTTTATGCACTGCTTCATATTGCGCCTCAATTTAAATGTTTATTGCGATCATGTATGCGTGTTTTTGACAGTTTTGACGTTTATGTCACTGTTTATCTCGCTAAGTTGAAAACATTTAATTAAACAGTACTTTAGCATTTTAAACGTTGATTTTAACTAAGTAAATAGTTAAGATATACTGTTATCTACAGGAGATATCGAAATATTGCATTGCTACAAGACGGAAGAGGTCAAGTTTATGTATCCGAAACTTAAGGTATTCCGAGAACTACAGTACGGAGAGGACTTACAGTACCGGAACTACAGTTCCGGTCGTCCTCGTAAAGAGATGATCGTTTTATTGTGACGGATCTTTAAAGAAATTGCCATTCCACTGCAATTTCTGCAAGAAACAGTGTACAGAAAGTTTGAAATGTAAATGTAAGTGAGAGAACGGTTAAAAGACGCCTAAATGAAAAAAAACTAATGGCCAGAAGGCTAGCTATTATTCCCAAATTACAACCCAAAAACTACAAAAATCGATTCATTTTTGCTGGACAAAATCAGCACTGGGATGTACAGGATTGAAGCCCAATTGTCTTTACTGATGAATCTCGGTTATGTTTGAAGTCTGGCGGTGGTCGAGAGAGGGTTTGGAGATGGACAAATGAAAGATATGTCAAGCTTATATGGCCCAGAAGAGAATTTGGCGGTGGTGGTATCATGGTTTGAGCTGGAATCTCATTTGAAGCTCGAACTGAACTTATTTCCATCAATGGCCCCCTGAATGTTCACTGCAGAACTTCAAAGCATGCTTCGTGAAGAATATGAACGTATTCCTCAAGTTTTTATTCCAAATTGTTCTTTTCCCTTCCAAAACGTAGCAAATGGTTATTGATATTGCTAGGGCATAATAACCGATATTTCGTTCAAGTTCAGTAGTAATATTTATTGTGTGTAATTCGTTTCGGTATTTCGATATTCCACTATTTTCTTTTGTAGCCTTCTAATTAAATAAATTATGTTCATGAATCGAGAAGGAAAGGCCATTTTTTGTTTTATAAATGAAAGATGTTGAGTATACAATATGAAACAGTGCATAAAACTTCCAATGAATCTTTATTTTCGGAAATTTATAGGGTGGCTACTTTTTTTTCCGGTCAGTGTACTAATAACTCGGTTAGCTTGTAAGCTATGATCTACTTTTGAAAAAAAAAAATTTTCGAAATAAAAAAAAAAATTCTTTTACTTTAAAACCAATTTTTTCCAAAAATAAGCACTCTGAATTGGTCAAACTTACTGATCATATAATGAATACATAAATAAAGTGAATTGTTAAGCGGCAACGATTAATTTTATTTGGGGTACTAATTAGGGGGTGATTTTCACGATGTTTTTACAAAAAAAGAGACCATTGCTAGAAAGTTAAAAAAAAAACTTTTTTTAAATACTTTCAAAAAGTGTTGATGAGTTTTCTCCGAAAAGTGCTTAATTTTTTGGTTATTTCACGTTGAAATCTTTGATTTGCAATATGATAAATGAGAACATACTTTTCATGAGCTACAACTCTGTTTCGACTGAGTCTACAGACTTCATAAGCACACTATTTTTTTATAAGCTGCATTTTTGCTAAGAATATTTTTTTGATAAATACTTAATTTTTGAGTTATTTGTGAAAACGTGGGTTTTATTTCAAAAAATGAACATTTTCACTCAAATAACTCAAAAATATTGACTTAGTGAAAAAACTGTATAGAATTAAAGTTGCTTAGAATTAGTCAATCCATTTCTGGACTTATTTTAAACGTATGCTTTTACGCTGAAAAGGGGTGGCTTTCATTCCCAAGTAAAAGCAACCCGTGGCTCTAGTTGAAAAGTGAAGTAGAGGGTAAGAGGAACCTAAATCCAAATGTTCAAGCAAATTCGTCGTGACGAGGAAAATTACACTCCAAAACGGTCATTTACGGCAGTATGTTGCTTTTCTTGAACTTTTAGCAGTAAGGGAATACCTTAAAAAGCAAAATCTACCCTATGTCGAAGTATGCTTTTATTCACTCCAACTGGGTGGTGGGAACATTTATATTGAAAATAAGCTCAAAAATCGATAGAAAAATATATTTTAAGGAAAAATCTTCGAGTTTTTTTGTTTTTAGACCGTTGTTTTTTAATTGTTAATTATGAGAGACATGGTCTTTTAAAGTTCGCATTAGCGTGTGACCCTGGCAGTCCATGGAATTCTCAACATTCTCCGGTATATCCAAAGTTCAAAGGCTTCAAGCTTCTTAACTATTTGCGCTTTTAACGTCCATGTTTCTACCCCGTACAATAGTTGGGACCAGACGTAACATTCAACAAACCTCAGTCTCAGCGCAGTATTAAGATTTTTGTCACAGAACAATTGCTTGAACTACTGTAAGAACGCTGCCCTTGGCAAGATCTCTTGGTCTGGATCTAATTCTGTGTTAATGTAAGCTCCCAGATATTTAGATTTTGTCACTCTCTCTATTTGCTGTCCACCAAGGGTTAGTTATTAATTATTTATTGGACTCCTTGATACTATCATGAATTTGGTCTTATCTGTGTTGATGTCAAGTCCCATTTAAATGCATTCACTATTTATTACATCTAATAAAGTTTCTAATTTTTCTATACTCTCAGCCATAATTACCGTATCATCTGCAAATCTTATGGTGTTTATGATTTCTCCACCAATTCTTATTCCCTCTTTTCTTTCCCATAAAGCTTTTCTAAAAATGACCTAAGAAGCAAGTTCTAAAATAAAAATAGCCATTATGATTGCCAACCTCCGTAGGGAGATGGCACTCTAAGAAGAAATATGACCTGTCAGTACACGTTGAAAAGCGTCCTTGCCTGACCACTCTCGCAATCGGTATATTATTTATTTCTATATCGTTCACCTTTACTACTGCTTTCTGGTTCCAGTATATAGCCTTAATAAACTCAATGTCTTTTTTGTCTAAATTGAAGTTGCATATGCATGTAGGTTATAAAATTCCCTTTTAACTGGTTTTTTGATCGACTGGCTAGCTCGAAAATTAAGCGAGATATAGCCAAAAAACCAAATATTTTTTTTTAATTCGGAGCAGGTAGGTATTTTAGTATCGGAGAATGTATATATTGTATATATTTTACGCATACGTATATTAAAAAAATAGACCTAAAGGAAAAATCAATCTACTGCTATTAAAGAAAATGTGAAGAAAGATGACTTATTTGTGGAAATCGCCATGCAATATGAGTAGACTATACAAAAAAATATTGTAGCAGATGTTGACGTATTAGTTATTTTGACTGTCAAAACTAAAGCCGAGCGAGAATTTTTTTCCCTAAAATCAGGAAAACCAATTGTTCCCTCTTTGGTATATTTATCTCAAAGCTTCGAAGCAAACTATTTAAGCAATGCAAAATGTATATCTTTTTCGCATTTCTTCACTGGATGTGCATTTTATAATACGGGAAAAAACATTTTCTTTGAACTTATGGAAAAAAGCCGGATTTAAAAAACAATCAG